TCACGTAAACTGTTGAACTCCAGTGAAATTTAACGATGCGGTGTAACACCTCGTAAGAAGGGTGTGGTCAGTGTTTCCATGTGTGCCAGGTTCTCTCACCTTTACAGTCGGGGTAGGAGTGGAATCCAGATCTGCACTGCTCACATCGAGGACCCTGAAACTCCGGTCTGCACAGACAGCGCCCGGCGGCGTCGCAGCCTTCGGGGAGAGAGCCGAGCGAGCTGCATCCACACACTGCAAACACAGCCGACGCACAACGAGACGGTGAGCTACGGCTGCTGAGTGCACGTAAGGCCGTTCAGTTTACACCTGTGCGAGCTCTGTGACGAGCTCGCTGTGGTGTGGCGCAGACTGTGACTGCAGCGTGGGCTCGCGGGATTATTACACACTGTCACTACGCTCACGTGTGAGCTCCAGCTGAACGACACGCTGAGCTACACGCGTGCTGGAGGTGATGAGGAGATCTCTGAGTGTAACTGAGAGTCCGGGTCTGATGGGCGGGACTTACGCTGGCACAGCGGGTAGCTGAAGTAGCCCGGAGCACACCGATCGCACTGAGGACCCAGGAACCCGCCGCGACACACACCGTGACCGGTGACCTCGTCACATGACCCGTCCAGGCAGCCAGGCCCTGCACACTGACAGGCTGCACACACACACACACACACACACACACACACACACACGTTGTGTTTGTGGATTACTGAAACAAGCAGGACGTCGTCCCCTCGGCTCTGTGATTGGACGGCTGTGAGTCATCAGATCACAGGTGTGACTGTGGGAGATGGGTGGAGTTTGTGATGTCAGCTCAGTTGGAGATGGGTGGAGATGAAAATGCTGCTTTTTGCAGCTCGTGTGTTTCGTGCAGCCGTGCGGATGTTCCTGACGTGTTAGGCTTAAATGTGCACGTCTCACCCTCACAGCTGAGCCCGTAGAAGCCCGGCGCGCAGGCGTCGCAGTGGTCTCCGGTGAAACCCGGTTTGCAGATGCAGGTCCCGGTCCGAGGGTCGGCCCTGCACGAGTTCTCCACGGTTCCTGCGGCGCTGCACTCGCAGTCTGCACACAGAACACAGCCTCGCTTAGACGTTCCTCTCAGTGAACTCACCTCAGGCTCCTCCTGCAAACCTGAGCGAGTGGCTGCAGGAGAGCGTGGAACATCCACGCTGAAGTCAAGGTCAGCTGACAGATCTGTGTTTATCAGTGAAACCGTCTGTGCACTAAACACATCACTTATATTTAGCAGCACAGACACGTGTGTGTGTTGCACACGTGTGTGTGTTGCACACTCACTGATGATCTCTCCTGCTGGTCTGGCCTCCCCGTTGATGGTGGTGGGGTGCGTGGGGCTGGCTGTAGGGCAGAGACAGCAGAGGTCAGGTTGTGTAAGCACAGCGGTGAGCCTGCTCTGATGTGATTTGTGGATGTGAATTCTTTGGTTGTGATCTGCTTTCTTCTAAATTTACAGTCATAAAAAGCTGCGATCAAACTTCTTTGGGCTCCTTTAGTGAACCTCGAATCCTCTGAGCTGTTCGGCTGTACTGTACTTATGATCGCTGCAGTTCCAATGTTAGAGGGAGTTTAGGTTAAGAGGGCTAGTCTGTCCATACGTGTTCTTCTAGTTTAACTTCCTATACTAGAGCCCCGCCCACACCTGTACCCGCCCCTCCCGTCCCTCGTGGTCCTCTGCCTGCTGCTGTGTGTCTTTGTTCCTCCCCTTTTGTTCTGGTTATGTGTCAGTCAAACAAAGTTCCTGGGTCTGCAGCACAGCGCCACCCGCAGGGCACCCACAGCAGCTGTGTACACAGCACCTAGTGAGTGCATTTGTTTGAGGCTGAAGCTGCAGGGAACCCTCCAGGAAGTGACCCGCTGGCTTTGAGGTGTTTGTGAAACTCACGGTAACACTCGGGGAAGCCGGTGAAGCCGGCGGCGCACGAGTCACAGTTCTCCCCGGTGTAGTTCGGTTTGCAGAAACATCGCCCGGTCAGATCCTCACAGGTACCGTCTGTAAACTCCACATCACAGTCACAGGCTGTGGGCGGGACGAGAGATTAGGAGGATGGGACTGAAGAAGATGACCTCTGTGTGTGTGTGTGTGTGTCAGGCTCACGTGAGCAGGCCAGCGGCGAGTCGATGGCGTGGTCAGGTGACCTGTAGTAGGTGGGGACGCAGCGCTCACAGTTGACTCCAGTGGTGTGATGCTGAGAGGGAAAAGTTCCCATTACAGTCAGTCATTGCAGGTCACACACTAACACAGTTTCAGGTGTGTCAGGTACCTGACAGTTGAGGCAGACTCCGCCCCCTCTGTAGTGTCCATGGATGTCGAGGCTGGCTCTCCTCTCGTCCACCTCGGGGTCATAGTAACAGTCGAAAGAGTGACGGTGGCAGTTGCAGGCTGCAGGTGAGAACACAGACAGGTGAAGACACACCTGAAGAAGAAACACTCGCAGGTGTGACCAGGATACACCTGCGCTTCATTTACATCCTCATTCACACTCGAGAGTCACTCCTGAGATTCAGAGGAAACCACGAAGCAGACACAGCTGGCTGCGTCACGCACGACATCATTGACCAATCAGCACCTCTCATTCCTCTAACCAACACACACGCACACACACCCCTGGGGGAAACCCCGACAGCACACACTCGATCATTAAGGTAAACTCTGCACTCGTCTGCTCAGCTCTTCCTGTTTCCTGTGACAGGTGCTGTTTAGCAGATTACAGGCCGCCGAGGGTCACATGATCACACGTTTGTCTGAACACAAAGTCAAACACGCACACACTGTTTCATGTCTGATTACAGTCAGGCTGCTCCTCCAGCTGCTGCCACATCTGCACCATGAGCTCAGGTAGCTTCCAGGTGTGATGTTGAGGCTGTTATTCCCACACTTGCAAAAGAGGTTTTTAATCTCAATGGGACTTTTCCTGGTTAAATAAAGGTTAATAATAATAATAATAATACGTGAGACGAAGGCAGCAGCGTTTACCTGTGTGGAGCACACACAGTTATCCACAGTAATCCCAGAAAAACGTTCCAGCTTTGGAATGTTGTGTAAACTGCATGCTGATCCTGGGAAAGGGCGGGACGGGCGTTTCAGACATTTCTAATCTGTCTGAAACGCCTGATAACACCTGCGAGCGGTTTCTGTGGAGACAGACTCAGACGCTGCCGGCTCGGAGGAACCTGCCGTCATTATTGGGCTGCAGGATGAGGAGTGCTGGTTTATTCAGCCGGCACCGCCCGGACGCTGAGAGGCAGATAAGCGCTCCCGAGAGTCCGTCTGGACCTCTGCTGTGCTCTCCGCTATCTGGGACAAAGTTCACACGTGTCACATGTTCCACGCTAGGATTAAGTGGGGGGTTGTTCTCACACCCGAGCAGGAGCCAGCATTTAAAATAACAAGACAGGTAAGTTATTAAGAACAGTCTGTATGTTTGTGAGCGTGCTCAGGAGGCGGAGCCTCACACCTAGAACAGAAACAGCTGTTTCCGTTTTTACAGACCGACGCCTCCCCCTCTGACGGCGGCTCCGGGCCGACCCTCGGCGACCTCCGGTGACCTCACTGATACCCTTGTTGGTCTTTGTTAAATATAACTGCAGCTCTGATAACAGACGGCGCTCTCGTGTACACATAAGCAGAGCTCTGAACAGGATCAGACGCTGAGCGCCACACGATGTAGTCATTTAACCTTTGACCACTCAAAAACACACCTGAACTCTACAGATGAGGCTTTCCACAGACACAAACATGGGTGTGCCGTGGGCCCCCCACTGTCACCAATTGGAGCCAGCCTGGAGGTGGAAACAGCTGGTACAGATCCTGCTCACATCAGCTCAGTGGATGGAGACACACAGTTTACTGTTTGTGGATGGAAACCTCAACACTGACGTTTACCTGAAGCCCCCACACACAGACCTCTGAACACACACCTGGACCTACAACACCGGGCAGAAAACGAGGAACACACGCAGGCTCTTAAATCGTGGCGACTGGGCTTTCATCGAATCAGCAAAGATGGCCAGAGCACATGGGCGGAGCTGCCCGTCACAGCGGACGAGCAGCAGATTGAAAAGCCCAGCGAGGATGTTCTTAATTCACACGGACCCGCGAGGTCACCTGACCCCACGCAGGAAGCACATTTCTCTGCAGGGGTCACGACCCCGTGTGTGTGTCTGTGTGTTTGCACGCACTCACGTTCACACTCGTTGGCACTGTAGGTCGTGGCTGGTTTCCATGCCAACTGGTGGTATCCAGGGCAACACTGGTCACAAGATACGCCGCAGGTGTGATGCTGACAGTCGCACTGCAACCTGTAAACAACAGAGTGAAAGGGTTAATGCACACACGCGCGCACACACGATATGACGTCTGCATCCATGCTTCATTAAAGTACATTAAAGCCGTACTTCAGCAAAGTACTTGAGTAAAGGTACTCAGTTACAGTTTGATCTGCTTGCCCGTCACCGTCTCCGGCCACCTCGACATCTGGAGGTCAGCTGCTTCAAGGAAACGACATTAAATGGTGCGCTTCCACCTGGTTCGGTACTTCCTGTCTGGGCTCCAGCAGCTGTGCGATCACGTAAAGTGTGAGCGATAAAGCGCAGACAGAGATCGGCTCGTCAGGCGTGTTTACGGCAGGAATGCGCTGGCCTTGAACTCAATCCTCAGTCCTGTGTGTCAGTGTGTGCGATGGCTGTGTAATATCTGAGTGTGCGTTCCTGGCAAACAGCCCGAGGGCGAGTCCAGTGTGTCGCTTCTGCAGACCTCACGCCGCGCTCATCTCAGCGAGCTGAACCAACGCTGTGTGCACTGGATCTCTGCGGAGGCGAGGCCCAGCACGCTCTTCTTACACCGGATGTGTGAATAACGCAGAGCTGCAGCAGAAAGCCAGCAGAGCTTGGTGTGACAGGTGAAACCTGCTGGTCACACGTAAATATGTGACATCACACAGATGATATTTCCTGTGTGTAACCCTGACGTGTCAGAGGCGCGCTCGGCGCTGCGTGCGCTTTACAGCTGCTCTCAGATTGATGTTTGGTTTCACCTTCAGTTCAGGATCACAGCTCAGGGGCCACATCTGGATTCTTCATTCACAGCTGGTGTGTGTGTGTGTGTGTGTGTGTGTGTGTGTGTGTGTGTGTGTGTGTGTGTGTGTGTGTGTGTGTGTGGTCGCGGCACATATTCAGTGATAATCCGTCAGAACCACGAGCGCTCTGAAGCTCTGACGTGCACATCCTCAGGAGTCCACCTCGCGTCAACGCAGACTCTGCTGTGATTGGCCTGCTGATTCCAGCTGCTTCATTGAATTAATGAGAGAATAACAAACAAAGCATCCGTGTGAGCACACACTGACGATCAGAAGTGTGTCTAACCCGTCAGCGAGGTCGCCTGAGCTCTGACTTGCAGACTGTTTAAAACTCTAAAAAGCGAGCGTGCTCTGGAAGCGGCGTTCAGCTCCTTCAGCTGTGGCAAACTGTGGGTATGACGAGCATTCGGGTATTTTAAACAGAGGCACGGAGCAGGTGTGTGGTTTATGTTCTTATCAAAATGTTCAAACATTCCAATAATGGGATGAATGAGGGTCGGCGAACACGTCCGGGAACCAGAGCAGGTCGTGTCTTTGGCTGCGGTGTGCAGGCAGGCGTCAGAGCGATAAAGGAATTCGAATAAATCTCTCCTGACCTCGCTTTGTGTCAGAGCGCAGGAATGCAGAGCAGCGTCAGCCTGGACACGTTTGAAGGCTGCAGGTGAGCAGACGCTGCACAGCTGGGCTCATCAGCAGCAGGTTAAAGGTCATAAAACACAGGAAGGGCTCTGCAACAACACAGACATGCTGCACATGGAATTTCTATTATTTTTATTGAGCCTTCATTTGACGGCAGCCCCGTCTGCTCATCTCCAGCTGCACCACTTTGTCCAGGGACACTGATGCTGCCCCGGAGTTTCATACATTGTTCTGAGCACACGAAGGCTTCAGACTGAGCCCATGGTGGAGTGCCCTCCCTCTCTCCTCCACCCTTCCTTTTCCATCACAGGTGAAGTTCCACGCTTCTCTGACTGATGAGAGACCTGGCGAGCTCAGGACTGCTGCGCTCAGCGATAAACCGCAGTTTAAACCAGGAAAGCCACCAGTGCAGCTGCACGGCGCCTGCGGCCTCTCAGAGCTGCAGCCCCGAGGACTATTTCATACAAACCCCAGCATCAGCTGAACACCACGGCACCGAGTCTGTGAGCCGGTACCTGCCCGCTACACCACGCAGACCGAAACACACTACTTCCTGCTGGGAGCGACATGTGCACTAAACTCGGTAACATCATCATATCTCTTCATTCAGTTTGGCACAAATGTCAGGAGAGCTGTGCCTGGAGCAGAGACACCAACCACACGTCCTCCCTTTCACTCACAGTCTTTATTCTCTTCAGGTTGTGCAGCAGGAAGTTTGCAGCTTTGCGCCTCTACAGATTTGAACTTCCAGCTTTGGACAGTAAATGAAACAAACTGCTGCCTGTTGAAACCACGAAACAGAAATATGAGGGAAAGCTTGAGCTCTGTCACTGATTTGTAGCCCCAGAGATTTCCTGACCTCAGGGTTAACAACTGGAAATGGAGCCACCTGGATGTCTTTATCGACTGTCAATTAACGCGCAGCTTAAATATCTCCAGGATGTCGGCGTGACGGCGGAAAGAGTCCCAGCAGCTGCGAGTGTCTCTGCTGTGCATCACATCTCCCCCTCAAATCGCAAATGAATCATGTTTAAAAGCAGCTCCGCACCAAGCTGTGTCCACACTCCCTCAATGAGTCTGTACGTGTGTGTGTGTGTGTTGACACGATGCATGGGTAATAATTTGCACTGCGCACAGGAAAGAAATGGAAAACAAACAGCAGGACTGCACGTCTGTGCATGCAGAGGAAACAGACGCGTATTCATGTTTCTGTAATGATGACAGCTAAACACCGGCTTAAGTCTTAACACACACACACACACGCACGCACGCACGCACGCGCACACACACGCACACACAACAGCAGCCCCTCGCTCAGTTTTTGCATTTGCGCTCGCTCGCATTGTGTCGTTCGCGCTCTCAACATTTCTGCCCGTGTGCGAGCAGCTCTTTCTCTACACCGTTATATTTGTGCCACAAAACCAGCCAATCACAGACTTGGATGCAAAAAAATCTGATTGGCTGTTCTGGTCTCCAATCAGCTCGAAATGGCGAAATGCAATATCCCAGAATCCAGAAATGGATTCTGGGATATCTGGGAGCAACGCAGAGGGGCGGAGTTTGAAATATTACTCTTTCTGGGTCACAAAATAAACTTTTAAGATATTTTCATGCGAGAATGTGTCTACCCTCATTCATGCTGTGTGTTCTGTCTGCCTGTATTTATTGTTTGTATTTTGGACGTTTGTTACTTTGAGTTCAGCATTAAAGCTGTTTGAGTTCACGTTTGTCTCCGGAGTCTGCACTTTGGGTCCTCCTCCTGCCTGCACACAGCCGTTCATATCATCTTGTCTTTATTTTTAGTTAGCGCCTTAAACACTTCAAGCTGTAAGCTAATGATAGTTATATAAGAGCAGAACGTTTTACGTCCAATGGATGATGATCTGACTAGTCGACTGTCAAAATAATTGTTTGTGGCAGCTCTGTGGGTGACAGGTGAATGAAAGATTTGACAGAGAGAGAGAGCTGTGCATGAAGTGTGATTTTTATCATGGTGGAAGCAAAACAGCAAAGGTCAGAGTGAATCCATGATGACGTTTATCAAACGTGAAGCGTAGTTTGGATCTTCTTTTGCTTCTGGTTCAATGAATTTTGGGTGGAAAGAGATAAAACCTGCAGCTCAGAATCGAGCGTAAAAAAGACGTAAACACAGCGCAGACCCGACGCATCAGAGTCAGCGAGCTGTCGGCTTTCAGCCCCGACGGCGTGTCCGTGTACGGGCCGTCGGGTGAGAAAGCCGAGAAAGAGAACGCTGATTCTGATGCGTCGGTCCGCTCTGTGTTTACGTCTTTGAGTGGAGTCCGTTACCTGCTCTCATTCACTGTTTGGTGGTTGTTGAAATAGTTTTGTGAGCTTTAACCTGAGATTCTGACAAAATTCATTTATATTTAAAAGTCAAATTGGTCGCACTCTAGAGCCCTGCTGTGGATCACTTCCATCTTCACAACACCTGTACAAGGGAACATGTTTCCATGACTCACCTGTTTAAGCTGGATTAAAGTTGTCATATCTGGGGGCGTGGCCTCTTTGAAAGAGTTTCCTAGTTTTGTGGTTTGGACAACTCCAGAGTGATTACGCTGCTAGCTGTAGCTCACCTGTATCTGACATCCAGGCGAGCTTTGCTCAGACGTACGTGGTGACGGAGTTTACTGAGCAGCTGCAGGTTCTGTGAGGCCATGCTGAGCTCCTCTGAATGCCAGCTGTACCCTCGTTTGCCAGCACATGCTCAAACACAGCTAGCATTTATTTCCATCGCAGGTATGCAAATTTATAAGAGCGTGGCACACAGCCAACCCTCACACAGGAGTACCTGACGCCTTTCAGATCACAGCTCCGGGGAAAGAGGTGAGAGTGTGTGTGTGTGTGTGTGTGTGTGTGTGTGTGTGTGTGTGTGTGTGTGACTCCAAGAGACAAACACAGTGAACGAGTGTGTGTGTGTGTGTGTGAGTTAAATCTTACTTGTAGGGGTTGCTGGGGTCTTTGGCGTTGCAGGCCTCAGCATGCCCGTTGCACACACAGCGTCCTCCGATACTGATGTCTTTGATGCTGTAGTAATACTAGAACACAGATCACAGCAGGAGCTGACTCAGAAACAGTGCTGGCAGCTTCAGGGTTCTCTGCTGCCTACAGTCACTTCAAAGAACAACAAGACTCATGCTGGGACAACTCACACACTGACTCTTCATCACAATTTGACACCAAGTTCTCTGCATCGCTTTCCTAAACGTCCAGATGTTGATGACGTCTCTTGTTGTGAAGGCGTATCACATCCATCCATCCAACCATCCATGCATCCATCCATGCATCCAACCATCCATCCATGCATCCATCCAACCATCCATGCATCCATCCATGCATCCAACCATCCATGCATCCATCCATGCATCCAACCATCCATCCATGCATCCATCCATCCATCCAACCATCCATGCATCCATCCATGCATCCAACCATCCATCCATGCATCCATCCAACCATCCATGCATCCAACCATCCATGCATCCATCCAACCATCCATCCATGCATCCATCCATCCATCCAACCATCCATGCATCCATCCATGCATCCATCCATCCAACCATCCATGCATCCAACCATCCATGCATCCATCCATGTATCCAACCATCCATCCATGCATCCATCCATGCATCCAACCATCCATGCATCCATCCATCCATGCATCCATCCATGCATCCATCCAACCATCCATGCATCCAACCATGCGTCCAACCTTCCATCCATCCAACCATCCATCCATGTCTCCAACCATCCAGCCGTGCATCCATCCATCCATCCATGCCTCCATCCATGCATCCAACCATCCATCCATCCAAACATCTATGCATCCATCCATGCCTTCATCCATCCAACCATCCATCCATGCATCCATCCATGCATCCAACCATCCATCCATCCATCTTACAGCCTTGTAGGATTCATTTAACAGACTTGAGGAGCATGAGCTCATCTTTACTGTTTGTTGTGATCAGTCCAGAAAACGCAACATGTAGCAGTAAACACCCAACAGCAGCAAATCAGCAAACTATGATGTCACTGTGTGCTGACTGATGATTGGTTTGCTGCGGTGCCTTACCCTGCGGGTGACGGTGGGGTCGCGGAGCGCCTTGCCCATCAGGTGACCCAGCAGCGTGTTGGTTCTCAGGAAGCGGAGCCTGATGTTTGTGGCCTTGGTGAACTCCCTCAGTACTGGCGAGTACGAAAAGTTCATCGCCCCGGGACGGCCGTTCACCAAAGACACGACGATCTGAGGACAAAGACACGAAACCTGCAAACACCTGGCAGCTGATCGTTCCTCGGGTCAGCTGACCAATTCCTTGAACTGATGTTAGCTAACAGCTCAGAATTTCAACCTTTAGTCACTGTCTGCTTTTTTCTCACTTTCTGAGCATTATTTATCCATTTGGACCACTCGCTCGTTCCTTTGGCTGATAGATTTCTACGTCCTCCTCACTCATCTTTCTCCCAGCTAACCTGATCTCGTTACAGAGTCGTTGTAATCTGATCACGTGATTGTCTCACCTCTCCATTCTCCAGCGGCACGATGCGTGAATACTCGATGGTGCAGACGATGTCATCATCGTGGCTGATCCTCTCAATGGTGCTCTGTCCAAAACGCTCGATGCAGTCTCTCTTGGAGGCTACACACACACACACACACACACACACACACACACACACACACACACACACACACACACACGAAAACAGAAAAGTGTGAGGCGTCCTCAGGATCCACTTCAGTTGATGATTAGAGCATCTCCAAGCAGCTGCTCTCAAACCCTAACATCACAGCTGGAGTCATGTTAGTGAACACCGTTCAGCTGTTTCCACACATTGTCAACAGAAACTACAGGTGCTCATCCTCAAAAAGCTCAGAAAAGCACAGCATCACACTGTGGCTGGGCCCATAGCAGGATGCAGTGATGTCAGCAGATGTGGGAGGAGCTAAGGCAAGAAATTCACCAGTGATTGGTGGATACAGCCCTAAATTCTACATGGAAATACCCCGAAATACTGCGAGTAATCCTATGTAATGTCCGCTTCTCAGAGCTTCTGAACTATAGGCTGATCTTAGCACCAGCACCAGTTACTGCACCAGTACCAGCACAGACCCTGGTAGAAGAGAGAAAACAGAGGTGCAGAGATTATTCTGCAGCATTCTTTCAAATTAAAAGTCAAGCTAACCACATTTATGATATGAACGCCTGCATTAAGCCGTCACCTTTTCATTTATCTGCCACCACCTCAGACACCTGGTGTGAGTCTGAATGAGGCACACATCTGCTAGTTAAACATCACGCTGCGACCTGCTGGCAACAGTCCTGGAATTCCCCTCCAGCTCACCTGAACTGACGGCTGCCACAGCCAATCAGCTGGCAGGCCTGTGATGTAATGCCCCTCCCCCCGGCCCCCGGGCTGCTATTTAACTGAGGTTAGAAGAAGAGTTAGGGTGACCCACAGGAGGTCAGGACGCTGGAATCTGACAGAGTTCGGTCCTCAGCTGTCGGGGTCGTACAGGTGAACATGCATGCAAGCGTGTGCTGTTACTCACAGGCGAAGTACTGCCACGGCTGGTAGGTCTGCCCGAAGTCCACGGATCTCTCCAGAACCCAGAGGTCAGGCCGCGGAGAGTTGGCGAATTTGATCAGCACGTATGCCACGTGGAAGAGCTGCAGAGATACCGAAGAAGAAGAAACGCTGATGAAAAGCACTTTGACCTGGTTTGGACCGTCGATGGAGGAACAGCAGGACTCACTTTAAAGCAGAAAAAACAAGAAAAAACAAAACGACAAGACTAAAAGGAGGGAGAAGACGGCGCTGTTCATGCTTCCTGGACTCTGCGTCTGCGTCAGCGCTGTGTGATGTTACAAACTCGACCCGACACCAAGCAAAGACAGCCAGTTTATACAGGGGCAGCAGTGTGCCATCATTTATGAACCATCATCAAAACCACTAAATCACTGAGATGTTGAGTTTTCACAATAATGACACAACAACATAAAAAACACCTTTCAGCTTTTAATTTCAAAAAGTTTTTCTGGCTGCAGTTCTGTCATTAGCTAACGAGCTACTGCAGCGAGGGTGGATCAGTAACCAGTACCAGGTGACTCCATCACCATCCTGTCTTTGATGTGAGCATGTTAGCTGCATCCACAGGCTGTGACAGCATCACAGCAACATCCAATCACTATCCTTCGCTCTGAGCCTCAGCTGAAGCGCAGGCTTCACTGCACAGGACTCACTGCAGCCTCTGCTGGACGCTAGAGGAACTGCAGGTTTTAGAGTTTGCGTTTGAGGTCGACGTTTGGAGAGGATGAACAGAAAATGTACTGTCACTGTGGGCGAGGATGCAGGACGTACACAGGGCCCAGGAGGCGCAACCAGAATAAAGTCACAATACAACAAAAAGATGAAAGATAAATATCAAGTATAAATATGAAGTGCACATGTATGATTCTGTAGAAAAATACTTGTAGTTTCTTGTCTAGAAAATATTAAATATAAATGCATTTTGAAGAAGAAAGAAGGAGTGGGCTGGATGGAGATGAACGTTAGAGAGCTGCTCAGGGAGACGCTGGCTTGCTCTGAGCTAAACAGCTGACCTCTGTGAGGAGGCGCACGTGTCATCAGCTGCCGTCACAGAGCTGAGCCGGAGCTCCTAACGTGCTCCTGCCGACACCTTTTCTCCTTACCCATCACCCCCCCGTTCATTCCCAAAGCTGATTGGACGGTGATGACAAACCGTTGTGTCTGACCTTGAGATCACTCCCCAGCTGCAGCAGAACAAACTAAAGCGACAAAGAAACGCGATAACACGAGCTCTGACGTCCCGTGTGAGGCCTCGCTCACAGCTCACTGCTGATTGGTTCAAAGCTTCACACGTTCCTGGCTCACGCCTGAATGATGCCAAAGCCTTCATCGGTCCCACCGTACCTAAAAATAAGCACCCATTGAGCAGAGAAATGCTCAGAGTCTCATTAATGTGGAAAAACTCAAACATTTGATTTGTTACATTTTAAAGCTTCAGATCAAAGATGTGAACTTTAACATCCACAGTCTGAGTCCGTTTGTCATCTTGGCCCTCTGGAAACACACAATTCAATTCAATTCAATTTTATTTATATAGCGCCAAATCACAACATAAGTCGCCTCAAGGCGCTTCATAGGTACAGAGAAAAACCCAACAATCATATGACCCCCTATGAGCAGCACTTTGGCGACAGTGGGAAGGAAAAACTCCCTTTTAACAGGAAAAAACCTCCGGCAGAGCCAGGCTCAGGGAGGGGCGGGGCCATCTGCTGTGATTGGTTGGGGTGAGAGAAGGAAGACAGGATAAAGACCTGCTGTGGAAGAGAGACAGAGGTTAATAACAGATATGATTCAATGCAGAGAGGTCTGTTAACACATAGTGAGTGAGAAAGGTGACTGGAAAGGAAAAACTCAGTGCATCATGGGAATCCCCGGCAGCCTACGTCTATTGCAGCATAACTAAGGGAGGATTCAGGGTCACCTGGTCCAGCCCTAACTATATGCTTTAGCAAAAAGGAAAGTTTGAAGCCTAATCTTGAAAGTAGAGATAGTGTCTGTCTCCTGAATCCAAACTGGAAGCTGGTTCCACAGAAGAGGGGCCTGAAAACTGAAGGCTCTGCCTCCCATTCTACTTTTAAATACTCTAGGAACAACAAGTAGGCCTGCAGTGCGAGAGCGAAGTGCTCTAATAGGGTGATATGGTACTACAAGGTCATTAAGATAAGATGGGGCCTGATTATTTAAGACCTTGTATGTGAGGAGCAGGATTTTGAATTCAATTCTGGATTTAACAGGAAGCCAAAACAGGAGAAATCTGCTCTCTCTTTCTAGTCCCTGTCAGGACTGTCAGGACACAAAGCTGCCTCACAGGTCGAGTTTACCTCAGGTGATGAGAGGCGTGGCTCTGAGCGGTTCCTGCTCATGATTCACGACATTAGTAAATAAACATAATAATGAACACAACGGTAAATTATGATGATCAGTCATCCTGAGCACTTGCAGCCTGACAGTTGCAGATGATCTCTGCTCTTCGTCTCTCCCAGTCTTTGATCAGCCGTCGTCGGAGCTCGGGCCCGTCATCTCCACTTCCTCCTTTTAAAGGCGAGCGCTGTCAGAAGTGATGACAGCAGGAACGCAGAGAGGCTGACGATGACGGGAGTCCGGGGACAGGAGGGCCGTCCATCCATCTGCATCTGTCCAACAGTTTGTCCTCTTTTTAAACAAAGCCTTAAAGTCGTGGACTGCAGAGTCTCAGCAGTAGAACTCCATATTTCTATTCTTGGAGCAGCTTTGCATGATTCTTCTTCTGGTGCAGTCGAGCACATGACCATCCACCGTCAGAGCAGAAACTGTTGTTGTAAAACACATTTCTGACCTTTAACCTGCTAAATTTAAGAGCTCCACATAAACACGCCCCTGCCCCCTTTATTTTCTCTTTCTCTGGGTGAGTTCTGATTGGATAGAAGAAACAAGAGAACGAACCTTTTTATTGTTTTTGGCTTTCAGGTCTGATTGAATGAAACAGGAAGTTGATTCTGGAGATTTTTTTTATCATAGTGTTGGAGTCAGAGAGGAGCAGGACGGACCTCGCAGAGCAGCTTTCACCGTGAATGTGCTGACGTGGAGCAGGCTCAGAGGTGCCGCGGTTTGGTTTCCGCCCCTGTCCATCTCCGGCTCTCTGTGGGAGCTCGTCTGAACAAAAGTCTCACTGACCCTTTTTCCATCGCACGTCCTCAGCAGTTATGGATCAGTGACGGCCTCAGTGCTGAGGAAACATCAGACCGAACCTCGGTGCTGAGGAAACATCAGACTGAACCTCGGTGCTTAGGAAACATCAGACTGAACCTCGGTGCTTAGGAAACATCAGACCGAACCTCGGTGCTGAGGAAACATCAGACCGAACCTCGGTGCTTAGGAAACATCAGACCGAACCTCGGTGCTGAGGAAACATCAGACTGAACCTCGGTGCTGAGGAAACATCAGACTGAACCTCGGTGCTTAGGAAACATCAGACTGAACCTCGGTGCTGAGGAAACATCAGACTGAACCTCGGTGCTTAGGAAACATCAGACCGAACCTCGGTGCTGAGGAAACATCAGACTGAACCTCGGTGCTGAGGAAACATCAGACTGAACCTCGGTGCTGAGGAAACATCAGACCGAACCTCGGTGCTGAGGAAACATCAGACCGAACCTCGGTGCTGAGGAAACATCAGACTGAACCT